GGTCCCACTTACACGATGTATGATGAGACAGAGAATGCAATTTGATTCATAGTTGCAAACTCGAGTATCCATCAGTGTTACCGCACACAACAGGGTGTTACATCACGTCGGATACAACTGTGTTCCGGGCGGGTATGGCACCCCGACCGGTTTCGACTACCGCCACGCGGTCTTCTTAGGGGGGAAAATAACCTCCTTCTTCCGACACTACGCCTTCCTTCCACTACACCTCCTTCGTCTTCCAGATTACAACCATTTTCGAAATGACTGGCTCCCGTTGCCGTAAGACCTGAAAAGAAGTTGCGGAACACGGTACCTGCTTATATCCCCTCGTTGTTCATATTCAACAGCTACTCCTGACTATGAGGTGGACCCCACCGAACGGCAGCTTGGAAAAGAAAAAGCGCCCGATCGTTTTGGAGACCCCACCGGTGATGGAAAGAGGTGTGGAAAGCCTCTTTGGAAAGGTTTTCCAGACCCGACCGGTGATGGAAAGGGGTTGCTGAAATGTTGACGGGGCGTTTCTACATGGTCGGCGGTCTGGAAAATCGTTGGCCGATCGCAGCATTCCTTTTCCAAACATGGCCCCCAGCAGAGTAAGGGGGGGGCATGTTCTCCGATGGCATTGGAGGGTCAGACGCGGACATGTGACGCGTAACCTCACGCCCTGCTCTGCTTTCCGTTCGGAGTGCTTAGGGTGCGGAAAGGAGGCCCCGAATAACAGCAAGATGGGGTGTGCCAAGGATTTTTGGAAAATTGAGTGTGGGGACACAGACAAAACTAAAATCCCCTGTGTTGGTTTGATGAGGTGAGCGATCTGGCGGGTTTCGGCGCGCACGCGGATTCGCAACGCGGAGAAGTTTTGAATTCAATCCAAAAAGTACTATCGCACTTCCCACCTGGCCACGACTCTTCGTTTGGAGTGGAAGGGAGCGAGCACGTGTTTAGTATCCCGTTTTCGCACTAGTTCCCGACGTCGCACGCTGCACAACTCTGAACCCGACGTGGATGGTCTCAATCGCATGGCCCTTTCCTTGTGCTCGTCCTCGTTCCGCATTCGGTAATGGAACCCCTTTGACTGGTAGTGATCGTGATGTTGGCAATCACTACACAGGGTGTTAGGCCAATGGGGTGCCACATCCGACCACGGGATGACTATTAATTCGTTAACGGGTAGTAGTAGCGAGTACGGCGGGAAGTGCGTAATATCCACAATGACAAACCAGACGCCTACAAACCCAGAGCACCGATTTTCAGGAGGGAAATAATACTGTCCACCGATCTTTGCGACGACTTCTCGTATGTCCCACTCATAGATACGCGTCCTATCCTCGTTATACGGGAAGGGGCGATGAGGGGATACGGGAGACTGTCGCCTAGTCGGGTTGAGTTCGTTAGTCCACATGGCACACAATCGGAAATAACTTAACCGCGCATTACGTGCATGCAATCATAGCAATCCAATCGGAAAGGCCAGTCAGGAGAAACAGAGGGTGCGGAAAAAGGAAAAGAAAGCTCACGTGTGGCGAGACGCAGCCACTATTTTTGTACTTGGATCATGCGTCACATACTCGCAACTTTCCTTCGAAAATCACAAATCAAAGCATTCTTGCATTTCCAAATCCCAACAACATTGCCCCTACTATCGACTCGCCCTAATCAAGATGGGTTTCGTACCCGTTCACTCTCATCTCCCACGCATGTATTCACTGTGGAAGGTGCGAAAATGACAATTCCCAATAAGGTTGCCGTTGAGGGAAAAATCCTTGGTGGTTGATACACGCGCATCCACCGTTCACAAGACAAAATCCAATAACTCGGAGGACTACCCAAGAAACTAATGGAAGAGTTTCGGAAGAAACCATTTTAATACAACCATCACACTCATTCCATTACAGGCCAACCTCTGACTTATTACATAGAACCATTCACAATCGAAGAAAGAGAGAGAAGGAGGAATAAAGATCGGAGGAGAAATTACATAGAGATCGAGGAAAGAAAGTTTGGCTTTATCGCCGCAAAGTTACACCAAAGAATAGAGTCGCAACCAAGAGGGCGCACTCGCCATTAAATTTCAGCACGGCCCCGGGCCCGTCATCCATTCAACTCAGATCACTTGTCCGCACTCCGACACCGACGATCCCGGCCGTCGCGCGTCATCCTCCACCACTGCGATCGTCACCCCGCCAACTTAGTCTCGACGTGGCTTGCCTGGATCCCACAGTCCGTCATGGCGATCTAGCGCACCGCCAGCCAGTCTACACTCGGCTCGTCAGGACTTTCCGACTCGCACCGTACACATCATCTTAGCCACTACTTCCTGGAAGCCGACCGATGAGTTGAGAGAGAGTTTTGCGGGGGCGCCGACGGAATTTATAGTTGCGAGAAGGGAGAGAGATGCGGAGAAGGGTGAAGGGTGAGACAGAGGAGGGCATAGGAGAGTTTGAGAGTGGCCGCCCATCGAAAGCCATGTTGATCCCCCTAACTAGACCTCAACAAATCAAAATCGTCGTGCAGTAAGAACTTACACAACGCTTCTCCTTGGTTGGGTGGGGAGAGAGGATCAACTGGGTTTTCGAGCGCGGATCCGAGATCGGGAAGAGGAGGAGCGCGAAGGATAGCACGAAACGGGTCCAAGATTCAGATGATCAAGAAGGAGAGAGAAAAAGAAGGCGCGAGCTGAGAAAGGGGAGGGAAAAGCAGTTACAGGGGGCGGGGGCGAGAAAGCGTGTGCACGCGAAAAAGGATGGTGAGAGGAACGCAAGGGAGGAGGGAGGAGGGAGCTTGCTTGCATGGCGCCGGTCAGCACGAGGGAAATGGGCACCAAAACAGTTGCAGTTTTTCCCAATCCTATGCTAATTCAAAATTGAAAGTACCATATCCGCGCGCAAAACAGACGCGGGAAGGAAAATCTTTCGTCGATCCATATTCGTACAAGAATTTCCCAGAGTTTTCGAGGTCGAGACCGAGAACATTCGCGCGCGGAAGGTCGCGCGGTATTCCGATAATTCCGGGATTTCTAACTGTCGAGCCAAATTCCAAGCGCACTCGTTAAGGCGCGCGAAATTCCCATGCATTTTCACTCAAAAAAAAAAAAAGAAAAAAAAAAAAAAAGGAAAGGAGCTGACAGATTTCCGCAAAGTATCTTTAATCGGGCATAGACAGAGAGGGGAGGGGAGAGGAGGGGGGGGGGGTCAGACTGTACACATCTGGCTGCAGGGAAAACAAAAAGGAAGGGGTCCGGAAGATGGCGCGGATCCGGAAACTAGTACGTCACAGACATGTCCTGGTGCAGCCACAACGGAAGGCCATGGACCGGTGCCCCTACCAAACTTTCCTATTTCGGACCTGGCCTTTCAAGTTTCCCTATTCGGGCAAGTGCAGCCGTTTCCAATGCCAAAGTTTGCGGTCGCCGTGGGGTGCCCACAAAATCTGCCAAACACGTTCTAACGACGGTGGGCCGTTTTTAATGGCCTCGCAGGTTTTCCAGCCGCCGTCCGGTGGGGTCCACCTCTATACCTGGTACTTGACAAAACTTGAACAGTCCTGACTATCCCTGGTACCAAATCTGCACCTTCGGTTAGTAGTCAGTCGCGACAAACCCATGTCCTCGGGTCCCAGTAGGTACGAGGCCCACCTTTTGTGGTACTCGTATCAGACTGAGACCAGCTTCAACACATCTCAATCGACAGAAACTCAGACAAATCAAAAAATCAAAAAAATCAAGAAATCAAAATATCAAAAAAATCAAGAAATCATAAAATCAAAAAAATCAAGAAATCATAAAATCAAAAAAATCAAGAAATCATAAAATTAAAAAAATAAAAAAATCGAAGCAAACAACACAGGCAGACTGCCTACGAGCTAACTAGGCCTCATTGGCCCCACTTACAAGAGTTATTAGCAAAGATCAACGGCCAGAATCTCTTAATCCGTCCCGTGCAAGTGGGACCTTGCCCAGAGATATTGCATCTGTTCCCTCGTACCGTCTTCCGCCGAGCACAACGCACCCTAATCATGACTGTATGCAAGCTATTTTCTTGTCCAGATACAGTCATATTGAGGGCGCGTTTCGTTCGACACATCGGGCCTCGCTCCAGTGCTCTCGAGATGCACAAAAGACAATCCTGGCGCCGGTGTTCATTCCATGTTCCAGCGAAAGATTCACTCTCGGGCCTCGCTGCACTACTCTCGAAATGTGCAAGACAAGAATGACTCTTCCGCTAGCTTAGGGACAGATACACCGCCATGATTTTTGTCTTTTGTGCATGTCCAGAGTAGTGCAGCGAGGGCCCTCATCTTGCACATTTCGAGAGGGTGTGGAGCGAGGCCCATCGGCTTTCCTGATGCATCTGGACGCAATCGTCGCTAAATGCGGATGCATCTGATCGCAATGACGTCGACAACTGAACAAAAAAAAATTTCCTAAGGACCAGATCCGACCGGCAAAGAGGATTGGAAAGAATGTGTGAATTTGGACGTGTTTGTGGCGAGGTGCAGAAAACTGTGATTGATCTTCTTTTCTGCATCTCTGCGTGGAGCACGTCCATATTCAGACACCGATTCCAATCGTCCTTGCCAGTGGGATCTGGGCCAGGGTGAGCATGCCCTGAGAGTGGAAACGAACCATGAGCCATGGTGGACGTCTCTACAAAAGGCAGTAGGAGGATGTGGCCGCTCTCCGCTTGCACCTGGTTCGTTCACGTGGTAGGCGGCAGAGTGTCGGCGTCTCAAGCTGCGGCTCAAGCGGTGCCGCTGAAGCGCGCGGCTTGACGTGCCAAGCTGCCGCTCAAGCGTGCGCGAATGCGTAACTCGGCGGGTTGAGCTTGGCTTTGGAGCGGGTAGGCAAGGAGGAGGAGGAGGAGGAGGGGGAGGAGGAGGAGGAGAGGAGGAGGAGGAGGAAGACGTGTGCGTGTTCCTGACGAGACGAAGGATCGTGGGGAGAGAGGGTGACAACTGGGAGCGGCGGGGGGAGGCGCAGGCGGAAGCGGAGATGGTCGCAGTGCTCCTGAGTCGGAAGAGAGTCAGTGGCAACGTTATTCTCTCTACCCTGTGCTCCCTACTCTCCTCTGCTCTTCTCTGCCCTTCTCTAGCTAGTCTGTAGTAGACGTGGTTCTCGACGAGGAGGAGGAGGAAGAGGAGGAGGAGGAGGAGGAGGAGGAAGAGGAGGAAGAGGAGGGAGGAGGGGGAGGAGGAGGAGGAGGAGGAGGAGGAGGAGGAGGAAGAGGAGGACGGGTCTTTCTGGATCTACTGCGGCTGCGGAGGTCTTTGAATTTCAATCTTGATCTGCGCTCAATGTATAGCTGTAAGAAATATTATTATTGTTATTATTTGTTATTATTGAACTGATTGGGTCCTTCTATGAAGAGCGCGGCGCCGATTACGTACTGGTGGTAATTGAGCTGAGCTGTGACAGTCGTTCTCACTCATCGAGCGCGCTACGCATCCAATGACGGCGTCGGGATCGGTCGCTGGCCACATTCAAATCCTCTGGCCGACGGTGCTTTTCACCCAGCAGTAACCAACGACCAGCGCAGGTCGCTGGTCGTACGTCGGTGTGAGCGAACGACCGCTGCTGGCAACCTTGAAAACGACGACGCGAATCCTCCTCACCGATCGTTGATTTATTTATTTATATTTATTATTCTTTTTTTTTTTTTTGCTTTTGAAGTACAGCATCGTATCTCGACCATAAGCGACAAAAACGAATCTGGATCTGGAGAGGAAAATACCATCTTGTTCAGATTCTCAACCATTGAGGACAATATCTGGATCTTGAGAGAGAAAAAAAAAAAGAAGAAAAAAATACAATTTTGAGAGGCGAGGGGAGTTGGCGGGCTGGTAATCGCAAAAAGGGGAGGTGAAAAAAAGAAAAAAGAAAAAAAAAAGGGGAGGTGCACCTGGGCAGTCGCTCATCAGCATCAGCAGCGAGCCCCCGCCGCGTCAGCTCTAAGACTTAGAAGAGAGTAGCAGCGGCAGCACGAGCCCGCCCGCGCGCTCCGCGCTTGTCATCGGCGGAGTGCGCCAATGTCAGTTCGCTGTGTGCGACACGTTTCCGAAGGTGCGGCACTGTCATTGGCGGAGTGCGACAGTGGAGTGCGCGACGGCAGCTTTTGACGGAGGAAGCGCCGGGTGATCGAGGTGGACAGACTTCACGTATTTATTTATTTATTTATTTATTTATTTTTATTTTTATTTTTTATTTATTTATACCAGGCGGACAGATTTCCGCTTCCGCTCCTCTGACGGTCAGGAAATCGCCACGTGTCTGGGTCGTCTAGCTCAACCACCACTGCATGTGCAATTTTGTCTGAGAATCGAACACACAACCAACGGCTTATCAAGCGACCGCTGGCCCATCAGACACTCTCTGATGCAGCTAAGCTCCTTCTCCTTAAGCGCCTGCCTGGGCCGCGCCTGCCTGCCTGGCTGTTTTCTTAGTACGGCAGATACATTCCGTACATCATTATAGAATTCCGTATATCAGTCAGTATAAGATTCCGTACATCATTATGGTAACAATTCCGTACATTATGATAAAATACAGTAATCCATATTAATCAATCGACAATAAAGGAGCGGGCGCTAGCACTAAGTGCAGCAGAGAGCGGAGCAGTTGCAGCAGTACTTTGGGGGGACCACCACCTGCCGCGAGGGGCCTCGTTGATTTTACTCATCGTTGAGCAGACTGCTTTCCACGGATGACGGTTTCCAAAACTCCATTGGACCAAAAATGCAGGTGAGTCGGCGGCAAGCTATTACTGTCTCATAAATTGTCTCAATGAATCTGTTCCTCCTTCGGGATCAATTCTTCGGTGTCAGGTCTTTTTTTTTTTTTTTTTTAATTCACATGTATGGAAAAACTGGGTAATTTAAAAAAAAAACAAACGAAAGCCACTGGAGAAATGACTAATTGAATGAATCAATGAGTACATGCATGAATAAATGAATAAATGAATTAAATGAATAAATGAATAACTGAATTAAATGAATAAATATTTTAATTAAATGATTAAAATGAGTCAGTGAATGGGCGCACTTTCGGCAGATGCGAGCCAAGAAACGAATCAATCAATCAATCAATCGATCAATCAATCAATAAATAGATGAACCGGAGGCCAAAATGAACTAATGAAGGAAGGACTTAATGAATGGTCAAGGGATGCATCGTTGAAACTTCTGCGATCGTTCTTGAATTCTCATCCCGATGGAAGCAGGTGAGTAAATCAACTAAGAGTAGGATGAGAGTCGAAAACGGCTTAACGCGCGTCGGACCGACTCAGAACCTCATGAGGGCAACCAATCACCATGCACAAAGCACACCGTGAGGCTTGAGCTAGAGAGAAGGCACCGGATGAAGAGGAGAGCGAAAGGGGAGAAAAGAATCAACTAAGTCTGAACAACCTTCCCAAAAAAAAAAAAAAAGAATCAGTTCGAATCCAGATTGGAACCAGATGATGAGTAAAATCAACTAACTACTCTGGTAAAATCAACGAATTCTGAATAGCCTGGGGTCGATCAGCTAGACAGTGATGTGCGAAGGCCATCGCCCCTTTAAAAGAAAGAAAGAAAGAAAGAAAGAAAACGAGAGAAAGTTTTTTTTTTTTTTTTTTTTTTTGTTCGAGAGAGAAAGTTCATGGTTCGTTGTTTGATACTACCCAATCAGCTGGGTGGATTCGGTGATTCTGGGATGCTCATTGGTGTTTTTTTGTTTTTTTTTTTTTCGCTTTGAGCGGAAGAACAAGTGAGTGAATGGAATGGTATCGAGAGAATTGTGCAGAGCATCTGGCTTATTTAATTAAAAAAAAAAAAAAAATCGATGAAGAAATCAAATCAAAGCAAACTTGATCAACAGCCAATCAATGACTTTCAAATTACATTTATTTAACCATTTATTAAGTCAGTTTCCAAAGAGCTCGAGTTTTTTTTTTTTTTTTTTATGCGTGTCATCCTTCCGCAGGGGCCATGCTAATCTTCTCTGTATCGTTCCAATTTTAACGGATGTCCCGAAGGACAGTTTTTTTTTTTTGCTTCCCCCCTTAACTACCGCTATGATATATCCTGCATTACGAGCAGTTCTTTTTTGGATCATTACCTCGGCTACCAGAGTGGCCCGGGACCACTTGCCGGGCCACTCTAAAAAAAAAAAAAAACATTAAGAATTGGTACATATCATGCATGACATTCAATTCAAAATGAAAGCTATGCACAATGATTTTTGATAAGTTTTGCTTCTAGTTTACCAAGAAAGGGCGTAATTGCAAAGTAAAAAAAAAAAAAAAAAAACTGATGCAATTTGTCCAATAGTTACATTAAAATTTAAACTATTTTTTTATTTTATTTTTTATTTTAAATTTGGTAAAGAATTTCAATGTGACCCTGAGGCAAAAGTTGTCCACTTTATTTTTTTTGCATAACGTAGTATTGTTTGGATTTTTTTGATTTTTTTTTTTTCACTGGGACCTTCCCTGGTCCTTGCACGCCCGGACGGCCCGGCTGGTAGCCTAGCGGGCGGCCCGGCTGGTAGCCTAGATCATTACAGTATCATCAAAAAAAAAAAACTTAAAAAAAGTATTAAAAAAATTCCTGATACTGAAAAGCATGATTTTGCAAGAGAAACGGCGTTCCCTTCCTCGCCAGAATTACCACTAACGTAACATGAACGAAATACAAACTCTTTAAATTTTCTGTGGTTTAGTTCTTGACCGATTGATATATTTTTGTTTTTTTTTCGATTGATTTTTAATGATTGATCTTTTTTATTTTTTATTTTGAATGATTGATGTTTTTTTTTATTTTTTTTTGAGTGATTGATTGATGTTGCAACCGCTGGGCTGTGGTCCCAGTAGCGAAGGGGATAGGATAGAAATCGTGAATCTGGCTATGTTTTATGCAGAGATACAGAAAAGCAGTTCTATCTCGATTTCCTGCTCCTGTCCTCAAACACGTCCAGATTCAGGTATTCAATCCGATTCTCTTTGCTAATGGGACCACGGCCCTGGTGCGTAGAGTGGAGGGGTGGCGTTTACTCCTCGTTGCCGTTGGAGTGAATGTTCGCAGTATACTCTCAGATTACTCAATCGTACAATCGATCCAGACAAGGACTGATGAACAGCCAACAGCCAATTTTAATGATCAATCAATCCCACCCAATTAACCAACCCGACCAAGCAATCAATTTTTACTTCTTTTTTTTTTTTTTTTTTTTTTTTTTTGTGGTGGCGAGTGCGCGGGTATGACCCCGTGCGATTGATCAGCAGAATCAACCTCAAGAATCTCAAGCAATTAACCAACGAATCGAGCAATCAATCAAAATTTGCAAGATCTCTTTTTTTTGGTCTGAATTACCACAGTGACTATGACCTCGTGCGCCTGATCAGCGCGGCCAATCAATTAATCTCAACCAATCAACCTGCCAATAGACCAATTAATTAACTGATCAATCAATTTAGAAGAGCTCTTTTCTATTCTTCCGGCAAGTACCTCTATGACCTCGTGCATTGAGAGTTTTTCTTGTTGGACCACGATCTTCTTTTTTTTTTTTTTTTTTTTTTTTTTTTTTNTGACCACGATCCTGTGACTGACGCCCGATCTTCTTCTTCTTCTTCTTCTTCTTCTTCTTCTTCTTCTTCTTCTTCTTCTTTTTTTTTTTTTTTTTTTTTTAACCCACGACGGCAGGTGTTACCAGGGGTGCTAGGAGCAGCCCCAGGTACCCCCCTCCGGCCCCCCCCATGGCTCCCGTCTATTGCTGGTGAGCTGCACCTCCTGGAAAACGGGTTAAGCGTCCCTTATACGTACAAACCGGAGAAACCGGATATTCAATCGCTGATCGTGCGAGCGAATCAAAGACCAATTAATCGACCAAGCAATCAATTGGTTGGTTGATTGGTTGAGATTGAATGATTGGCAATCAATTGGTTGGTTGATTGGTTGAGATTGATTGACTGGCAATCAATTGGCTGGTTGATTGGTTGAGATTGACTGATTGATTGATTGCCGCCAGTATCAGAGAAACCGTAGATTCCATCGGTTGTGCGTAAAGCGGGTTCTCGGGTTCAGACTGGCTCGGTGACCGTAGCTTCTTGTTGCCGCTGAAGTGAACGTTCGTTGAATGTTCGTAGAAGATCACTACCGACAAAAGCCTCAGTTGGTACACCCCACGAATTGTTGAAGTACAGACCCACGATCGAATCCAGGTGCAATCACCTGAACAGAATGAAATACTAATCATGAATTTATGAGTTACCTGGGGCCGGTCAGTTCAATGATGTTGAGATCTCTTAAAATAAAATAAAATAAAATAAAATAAAATAAAATAAAATAAAATAAAATAAAATGAAAAGCCACTCTTAGACTACCAGTTAGTTAGTTCGCTAAAATCCTGGTTGCTTGTCCTGCTGCTGCGACCTTGCGACCTGTGATCGGGATGCCTTTTTGCATGTGAACATTCCCGAAGCATTCGAACGGGAACGGCTAAACCAGGATAAGGATCGGGATCTCAAAACGCGATGCTGACTTTTTTTTTTTTTTTTTTTTTTTTACTCGGGCTTGTATTACAGCTGGTGAAGCGGACCCAAAAAAATCCTAATGATCGGTTCAATGTCGTCCTTTTGCACTTTTGCACTTTTGCACTTTTGCACTTTTGCACTTGCAAACTGTGCTCAGTTATTCCCGAGTCACGTTCGTTGTTTGCTACCCTGTCGTTCTGCGCACTTTTGCACTTTTGCACTTTTGCACTTTTGCACTTCTATACTCTAAAGTTACCGCGGTCATTGACGGTTGCCTCATACAGGCGAAGAGACCTGAGGTCATAATGGTCTGTTCGATAAGCCGTTTTGCGCTCTCATACTATACGCACAATAATTTTCGAGTCAGGCTGAATGCTAAGGAGCCGAAGTTAGTTCATCTTCATCTTCATCATCATTGTTCCGGAAGCACGCAGAAGGAGATAAACTCGACACCATGTCATTGCTCTTTGTTTCTGCTGATTTTGCGTATGTGTCTGTCAGACCGAGAGAGGGAAATCGGCCTCCCTTCACTCTGACAGTGTGTGCTGAGTCTGCACAGAACAGACGCCACATCATGTGACATTTTTCTGCTATTTTATGCCGCGCGAAAGCGCCTTGTGAGATTTAGTCGTGCGAGTGTGTGTGTGTGTGTATGGGTGATTGGTATGTATGCGTGTCCGCGAGAGCGAGCGAGCGAGCGAGCGAGCGAGAGAGAGAGAGAGAGAGAGAGAGAGAGAGAGAGAGAGAGAGAGAGAGAGAGAGAGAGAGAGACAGAGAGAGCGAGATTCGTCGGGCGAAAGCGCCTTGTGAGATTTAGTCGTGCGAGGGTGTATGTGTGTGTATGGGTGATTGGTATGTATGCGTGTCCGCGAGAGAGAGAGAGAGAGAGAGAGAGAGAGAGAGAGAGAGAGAGAGAGCCAGAGAGAGTGAGATTTCTAGAATAGAAAAAAAAGAAAAAAAATGCAGCGCGGCGTGGGGGAAAAAATAGAAAATGTCTCGGTTAAACCCGAAGACTGCAACTTCTTGGGCCTGGTCGCATTAGCAAAGAGCATTGGATTTAATTCGGGAATCTGGATGTGTTTGGCCCACAGATGCAGAAACGCTGATCAATCTCAATTTTCCGCATCTTTCCACAAGCATGTCCAGATTCAGGAATTAAATCCAATCCTCTTTGCTAATGGGACCAGGCCCCTTAAGTATGCATTATTCCGCGCGTGATGATTCAACCCGGCCGGCCGGCGTCCCAAGAAAAAAAAAAGAAAAAAGAAAAAGAAAAAAAGAAAAAAACAAGAAAAAAGAATAAAGAAAGTACATGGTAACCACCGGATGGATCGTTGACTGTGAATTCGTTCTATCTCACCATTGCTTTGACCTTCTTTTTTTTTTTTTTTTTTTTTTGAATAAAAAAAAACCAATTTTTTTTTTAAAAA